TTCCACTGTGTATTCATAAGGGATTGGGTTTAGATTATACCTGACTAGCCCAGTGGTTTTTTCCTACTTTCTTCAGTTTGATCTTGAATTTTGCTGTAAAAAGTTGATGATCAGACAGTACCTACTATTAATTTGGGGATGAATAAATGCAAAGAAGCTGACAATACAGTGGAAATACTTTTTCCTAAAGGACCACATGCACAACTAGAGAGGTCTGCTGGACTAGATGCTATCAGTCAAGCCATGCCTGGCCTTGATAACCAAGGGTGTCTCTGTCACTTTTATCTGCGTGTGAATGTGACCATGCTGCAATTGTCCATACCATGGTTTACAACCATACTACACAACTAGAAAACAGTTCACACTGCCTTTTTAGGTGGTTCAGAGTAGGGATGTGCATTAAACTTCAGAAATACTTGGAATTCACCAAATACCATATTCAGATAATTCTGAATATATCCAAACTTGAATTTGATAGTTATAAACATCAGTAATAATAATTCTTAATATCTGGAGTACCGTGGGGTCCTACAGATTAGAAAGTAAAAGGCTATGCTTTGGCTCACTGAAGGAAGAAATGAAATCTATTTCTTAGACATGGAGTGATTTCTTAAGAAATGAACTTAAAAACACTGGCACCAAAGGGAGCCAGAGAACCCAGTGTATCCTGATTGGGGTTGTCATGGGTTTCTCAAGGGAGAGAAGCTGGGATGAGGGCAAAATCTGCAGATAAAGTCTATATGTACCAATGAAACACCACAAAGTCTTTTTAAACATTGGTTCTTTACAATTAAAAGATGGGCTTAGCTGCTTGTGCTTATAAATCCCTTGAGCATTTTCTGTTAGGATATGCTCTAGTACAAGCTTGCACTGCAGCACTTTTCTCTGTTACCTCTTCTGAAACCTCAACTTACATTCTCTGCATCTCATTATACAGTCATGTAAAAAAGAAAGTACACCTTCTTTGAATTCTATGGTTTTCCATATCAGGACATAAAAAAATTATCTGGTCCTTAGCAAATATGAAAATTAGGTAAATACAACCCTAGATGAACAACACATGCTATATTGCACTGTGTCATGATTTATTTTACAAAAATAAAGCCAAAATGAAAAAGCCAGGTGTGAAAAACTAAGTACACTTTATGATTCAATAGCTTGTAGAACCACTTTTAGCAGCAGTAATGTGGAGTAATTGTTTTCTGTGTGACTTTGCCAGTGTCTCACATCATTGTGGAGGAACTTAGACCCACACTTCTTTATAACGTTGCTTCAGTTTGTTGAGGTTTGTGGGCACCTGTTTATGCACAGCTATCGTAACATCCCACCACAGCATTTCAATCGGGTTGAGGTCCACTTTATGGTGGACTTTAAATTGTTTAGAAATGGCCTTATAGCCTTTCCCAGATTGATGGAGAGCAACAATTGCTTCTCTATGACCATTGCTGATGTGTTTCCTCCTTGGCATTGTGTTCACATACACCTGAATGCTACAAACCAGCAGACTGCTAAAACCTTGGCTTTTATAGAGGTGGTCATACCTGTCGATGATCAGTTACTCAAGGGCATTTAGTTAGCAGCACCTGGCTGCTATGTAGCCTCTTAACTCCTATGGAAGCGGTAAGGTTGTACTTAGTTGTTCACACATGGCCCCTCCATTTTGGCTTTGTTTTTGTAAAATATATCATGGTATGGTGTAATATGTCATCTGTTGTTCATCTGAGGTTGTATTTACCTATTTTCATAGGCCACCCTGCTGAGGACCATATGATTATTATTATGTCATAAGACATAAAACCATAGAATTCAAAGGGAGTGTGTAAAATATATCATGGTATGGTGTAATATGTCATATGTTGTTCATCTGAGGTTGTATTTACCTATTTTCATAGGCCACCCTGCTGAGGACCATACGATTATTATTATGTCATAAGACATAAAGCCATAGAATTCAAAGGGAGTGTACTTCCTTTTCACATGACTGTATATTGTTTGGAATAACAATAATAATATAGTTAGGAATAAGAATTAGGATCTGTAGGTTCGTGGATTAATACATTATTTATCAGCATGGAAATATTTTTAAATGTATCTTTACTTACAAATGTTTTTTGTGGTTGTTGTTATGTTATGAAGTCACTTTCAGAGGAGTCTATGAAACAATAAAATCAAAAAGGAGGACAGTAGGAAAAGAAGGGCTAACATGAAATGAATTGGTTCAATAAATAATATTCCTTCACACCATCATTAACATTAAAGTGTTGCAATCATTCCGTCGTCATTTTTTTCTGACTGTTTGGCTGTAATCTTGTTTTTCCACTTTCTTCTTTCATCTACTTTAGCTGTTGGTTCAATTCATTGCTGTTTTCTGCTAGTAATATAGTGTCAGTTGCATATTTTGAACTATTGATGTTTCTTCCACCAATTTTCAGTATTACTTCATCTGGATCTAACTTAGCTTTCTTTATGACATCGTCTGCATATAATTTGAGTAGAGAGAGAAATAAGATAACCTTTGTCTGACATCCGTGCCAGTTGGAGTCATTATCTTTCTTAATATTCTGCCCTAAAAGTACTCTTGTCCACAGTATAGGTTACACATCAAGATAATCAAATGTTATGTCATACCAATTTCTTTTACAATAATCCATACATTTATGGGTCTGTTATGATAGATTTTATTTTTAAATACCTGTAGAATAATTTCAACAATTCCTTTTTTATTTAGCACACTATAATGTTATAACTGGTCTTTTCAACAGGATGAAAAGGAGAAGTTGACCTGGAAAGACCGTACACCTGGATATCTAGTGAATTTTGCTTCAATCTTATTCATGGTAAGCTAATATGAATCATTTCCCCATATCATCTATGTTGAAATTAGATAATTATACATTTCAGTGACATAGGTTCCTACATATATCTACATTTTCTGTATAGCATAGGGCCTCCATAGCAGCAGATACAATAAGCATTCTCCTGAACATAGGTTAGGAAAGGGTCAGGTGCATGCATTGAATCCCCATCCATCAATGGTGCCATGCCCCAAAGCATCAGAGACCATCATGCATTGAAAAATTAGGTTTGCAAAGAACCCTGCTGCCATATCTGGATTAATGCCATTAAAAAGCTCACATATTTGGCAACCTGATCTTTGATAAGAAGTTCTCAATCATGGGAGTTTTAAAATCTGTGGTCACCCAAATACTGTTACCAACCTCTTTATAGACTTTTGCTCTCACTGCACTAAAGCCCATCTCATTCGGGATTCAGGGCTTACATGTGCACGTATGTCCCCATCCTCACTTCAAGCACTATGGGTGTTCAGGCGAATGCTTGGATAGGACTAATGTATAATAGGCAGAAATCTAAATCTGTAGCTAGTCCAAACAAAAGCAGATCCTTTGGAAGTTACATAAATGCTGATGTATCAAGTTCTCAGTTTAGTGGGCCTGCATATCTGAGGTAATTCTTTTGTAAGAGGGAAAACAGACAAAACCCAGAGAATGAGAAATTTCACCATAATTCCTATTTAGATCTTAAAAGGAAGTTTAGAAAGCTTATAGCCACAAGTCATGGTTTGAGTATGTCCTTACTATTTGGGGAGAAGATGTGTCCCCACTTGGACCAGGGCTAACACTAACTAAACCCTTGCAAGACTTCTCGTGACAGAGAACTGCAGCCAAAAGTAGCTCTATCTCTTGCATTGGCTTTCATGTATTTCTGGACTGGATTGCCCTAGAATCTGGGGAAAATTTGTGGCCTCTGGATTTGCTCCATCAATAGTCCTACTCCCCATTGTAGCTTGTGGTTCAGTCTCAGAATCTAGAAGCACTGTGAGGCTTTCATATTTCTAGTTGCCCCCCCCCAAGTCTCTTCTAACATAAGGTAATCTCAACGAGATGGTGAGGTATGTGAGATGTTCATGGAAAGGTTTTCAGTTGCCATCTGCCCAACAGGTTTTCATGGATAAAGGGAATTTGAATCTTGGTATCCTGAGTTCTGGTCCAACCCTCAATCCATTGTGTTACACCAACTATCAGTAATCTTTACTACAGGCATTTGACATGCTCTGGTATTAGAATTCCCACACTCAATATCTCCATCAGAGGGGCATCCTTACAATTTTCTGTGAAAAGGAAAATACTCTATCTTAAGGATACAATTAATAAATGTGGCATTTTCTGCTCCAGATCCATTTAAAATGCTCTGGTATTAGGATTCCCACACTCAATATCTGCATCAGAGGGGCATCCTTACAATTTCTGTGAAAAGGAAAATCCTCTATCTTAAGGATACAGTTAATAAATGTGGCATTTTCTGCTCCAGATGCAAAAGGACACTGTTAGATAGTGGGGTTCGACGCCAAAGAAGAGCTGCGACACAGTAATAATTCCACTCGATTTACTGAAGACACACACACACGTATAAAAAACCCCACCCCTCATTTGGAGGTTCCCAACCCTCCCTGCTCTATTGGCTAATTGCCCAGCATCTATACTAATTGGGGGAGGGAAAGTTAGCCTCTACAACCGCTGTCCTAAGGCTCCTACTAAAATCTGGAAAGGACAATGGTGGACACAATGGTGGACACAACAGACACATATTTATTTTTCTGGATTAGAGAAAAACAAGAAGTCAGTTGAGAATGTTACTATCAAGGAGCAAAGAGAAAGATATGACTGAGTAGAGAAAACAACATACAATTAAGTGAATTCCCTACAGGGCTTAACAGTTACATAGAGGCATTGCAGATGAGTGTTCCAGACATACAGTACCAGAATACAGGAATGCCTAAATGTCTTCAGAAAATGGGTAGTGCTGTAGAACATTTCCTTTCACAGAAGAATGTAAGAAGCTGCAAAATTTGTGTAATTTTGGGTTGTCCATTGAGTTTTGGGAAGACAAAAATACTGCATACTAAGCTTTGGAGGGAGAAAATGTTATTTCCAAGTCCTTTATTCAATCTTGCTAATTATTAAGGTGTCCTGAAGGAGTTTTTAAAATTCTGCATGTATATAAAATGTGTTTTTTGTTTTTCAGATTTCATTGACATTTTCATTAGTTTTTGGTGTGATTGTCTACCGGATAACTACAGCAGCAGCACTGTCCATGAGTCCCAATGAGTCAACTAGGTCAAACGCTCGAGTGACTGTGACAGCCACTGCTGTCATCATCAATCTTGTTGTGATACTTATCCTAGATGAGATTTATGGAGTGGTTGCCAAATGGTTGACAGAAATGGGTAATCCCTTAAAACATACTTTCTGGCTCACGTTAACAGTGTATAAATAGCAAATGTCTTTCATCCACAAAACAGGATTCTTTGCCCATTCTGTGATAGGTAGTTTATGACCAGAAAAGAGGAAGCACGTCATCTGAAATTATGAGTGAGCCCTCACAGCTGGGTCAGAGTGCCACTCCGCATTTCATAAGATTTTGCAAAACTTTGGGATATTCTTCAGAATCTTCTCAAGAACAACTCAGTGAGAATCTCAGTAAAGGTGGGCTAGCCCCTGAATATTGGGTGTTTGCACAAAAAAATAAGAAAAAGTCAGGAAAAGACCGTGTAGTCCCCAAATCAATACAAATCCAGGAACAGGTGGTACCTTTATTGGACCACTAAAAATAAAACAAAACAGAAAAACAAGTGACAAGCTTTCAATGATAATTCATCTTCCTCAGGCAGTGCACCAAGTTCTTGTGGGTAGTTCTAAAATTATATGCTTATAACTATAAGCTAAGCATGGTCCCAGTAATAGCCATGACACAATGGGACTTTAATAAAAACACTGACCAGGGCACATCTACTATGAAACTACTGATGCTTAAGGTCCCTAATTCTGGAGTGGCCCAGAAGCAACTTAATCCAAATTAAAAACAAAATGGTGGTAACATGTCATAAAACAACCCCACTGAAGAAGATAATAGTGGTTAGCCAACCCTTGTTGCTGGTTGCGAAGCCCCCCACTCCATAACAGTTCAAGCTTCAGGGGTCCAAAAATGTAGGTCTGCCGCTTTTGATGGTGCATAACAGCAATCCACTCCATGGCTACTGTTCCTGTTTTCTATCCCTGGACCTCGCCTTTTCTACATTCTTGCATAATTGGCTGGAAACAGCAAAGCTTTGCCAAATGTGACTCTTGGAAGTTGTGCAGAGATAGCTGTAGAGCCAATGCTGGAATAAAAGCACTATTCTCCTGCTGGGAGTTACAAAGGCAGGTGGTCTCATAAATGATTAAAGATATCCACATGGAAACTTGGGCGGGGGGAAATTGGAGGATTTTACAGGAGGAAAAAGGGAGTGGGTGTAGCTATGAAGGTACTGATTAAGGGATAGAAGTAAACATACATTGCATTCATTCGTTCGTTCGTTCGTTCGTTCGTTTGTTCATTTGTTTATTTATTTATTTATTTAGCTTATATGCCGCCCATTTAAACGTAGTCTACTCTGGGCGGCTCACAAAACACGTAAAGAAAACAGTTATTATACAGTAAAATAACAGATTCCAACATTAATACAAAAACAGAATAGATAAAGATAGAGAATTATGTAGTGACTGGGGGGGAAGGCCTGTCTATATAACCAGGTCTTGAGTTGGGTTTTGAAAATGCCCAGCGAGGGGACCAGATGAATCTCGAGGGGGGGGAGTGTGTTCCAGAGCCTGGGAACAATTGCCGAGAAGGTCCGGTGGCTTGTTTTTTCTTTCCGGGCCTCCCTCGGCGTTAGGCTCCTCAGTCATCCCTCCTGACTAGATCGGGTGATACGAATAGATCTAGGTGGGAGGAGGCGTTAGGCCAAATATTGAGGTCCTAAACCATTTAGGGCTTTGTATGTGATCATTAGAATTTTGAAATCAACATGGAATCGAATGGGCAGCCAATGCAATGCGGCCAGAGTGAGAGTAATATGTTGATGTTTCTTCACCCCACTAAGAAGTCTGGTCACTGCGTTCTGCACCATTTCTAGTTTCTGCATTAATCTCAAAGGCAGCCCCACATAGAGCACATTGCAGTGGTCTAATCTCGAGATTACGAGCGCATGGACCAAGCGCTCGTAATCTTGAGATTAAACCAATGTAGCATATCTAGACATTGAAAGGGGGATTCCAGTCTTGTTTAACCTGAGACCTGTGTAGGAACCCTGGTGACAATAGTACCATGGTCACTGAAGTTTTGCCATAACTGCTAGTATGATCCGCTGAACCAGAGAATCTGGCTTTCCTGCCTCAGAATATGTTTTTCCCCCACATTTGGAAGATCTGTTACTTGCAATAGAACTCTTCCTCCCAGGTAGCATGGAAGATGATTGGTTTGCTATGTATTTATGGTCAACACATCTCTCTTTCTGTTTTCTTCATTGCAGAGATACCAAAAACAGAAAAAGCCTTTGAGGAGAGGTTAATTTTGAAGGCTTTCCTGCTGAAATTTGTTAACTCTTATGCGCCAATTTTTTATGTGGCCTTTTTTAAAGGAAGGTAGGTGGGATGTTAAAAATGTTAATATTATTGTCACATTGTGACATTCCAACAGCATCGATAAAACAGATCAGCCATATAACTACTATGTCTTTTGCTCCTTTTGGAGCAAACCATACTTGGCTGTCTGTCTCCAAAAATCCAGGGAAAGTGAGAAATTACACTCTGTATTCCCACACCCCTGAGCTTTCTGCATCTTGGCATATACATAGGGGATTTTCCATGCTAAGCAGAAACAGAGAAAGTGCTTTACTTTAGATCCTCTGTGAAGTGTGGCATTTTTCCATTTGCGCAAAAAAAACGTGGGTGGCAAAGACCAGAACTTCACCTCCTATTGGTTAGGAGGGTCTCCAGAGGATGTTTTACTCAGGACCCACAAAACCTATTGTAATCACTGTTCTGCACTGTGATCCATAAAGCATATCCCAGACTGGAGTGATGAAAGATTGCAGCAGTAAAAACATGGGACTTTCAACATGTAGCTCCTCAGATCCTTGATATGACCTGTTATAGCAGTGGACCTCAACCTTGGGCCTCCCGATGTTCCTGGACTACAACTCCCAGAACCCTTCAGCACTACCTCTGCTGGCCAGGATTTCTGGGAGTTGAAGTCCAAGAACATCTGGAGGCCCAAGATTGGGGACCACTGTGTTATAGGACCTGCTGAGTCAATGCTTCCACACCTTTAGAGAAGGAAAGACTATCATCACAAATCTGCCATTTTAAAATTCATTTAATGTATGCACAAAATTTTCATTTGCCTAGAATGGACTGTTATGCAACTGCATGTTTCTTTTTTAATTATAATTTTATTATATAACAAACAGACAACAATCAAAGAAACAGAAGTACTGGGGGGGGGGAGAGGAAGGAAAAATACGCCACACAAAACATACACACAGGGAAGTGTTTATAGTAGTACAATATCTAGCATAATCCTGACTCCACAACTGTGTTACAATAACTAAAATCTATAACATATGTTATATTCTCTATTCATATTTGTTTCTGGGCTCAATCATAAAACATATTTCAGTTGTCCTTAATATATCTTCAGGAATTCTCAGATAATTCCTCTAACAAGCCATCCCATTTTGAGCCCAGATAGTCCTTAACATATCTTCAGGAATTCTCAGATAATTCCTGTAACAAGCCATCCCATTTTGAGCCCAGATAAACCTTATAGCTATAAATATTTGCAACAACATACTGTATGCTTACTGTATTTATATATCTTTTAAATCAGCAATTTCTAGTATGTATTCAGCAAGAGCATTTCTAGTTTAAACTTACTTTATTTATATATCTTTTAAATCAGCAATTACTGGTAATTGTATTCAGCAAGAGCATTTCTAGTTTAAAGGTTATATATACTTGTTTTATTTCTTATGTAATATCTTTTTTATCTATCTACAAAATCATTTTACTCTGTCATGTATCCACAATTTCTAGTATGTATTCAGCAAGAGCATTTCTAGTTTAAAGGTTATATATACTTGTTTAGTTTCTTATGTAATATCTTTTTTTATCTATCTCCAAAATCATTTTACTCTGTCATGTATCCACCACCTATACAAAAGAGAGCCCAAAGTTGCTAACAAAATTTTTAACATGAATTTCTAATCTCTAACACCCTTTTTGCCAGTTTTAAAATGCCATCCATAGAACATCTTTAAAACATTTTCTCTCAGGTTTACTGATTTAATCCATCTATAATTATCATTCTACATTTGAATCCAATCAGCTATGTCTATATTACAGCCAAAGTTTTGTACCTCTTTCATCATCACTGCTTTCAGCCTTTCATCCTCTGAATTCTCTTGTAACAAACAAATATGTATTTTTGTATAATTTTCTCATTAGTATAAATCCACAGCTCCTCCACCTGGACCTTCCTCTCATATAAACCGATTATTTTATCTTTCTTCAATCTTGATTCTAAATTCTCTTTTTCTGCTGCTCCCGCTACTTTGGTGAATTTGGTTAAAACTTGTATCTGTTGTATAATACCAGTCGTTGTTTTATAATTTGACTGTGCCTGGGGTTTTTGAAGAACAATAATTATTATTCATCTGCCATGAAGTCTACTTCAATCTATGCCGATATTTTCTGTGGTTTCCTGTGTGCAGTGTATTCAGGAGTAACTTCACATTTCCTTCTTTTAGAGGCACTCTGGGACTGTACATCTTACCCAGGGCTACAGAGGCTGGCTGTTTTCCCAGGTGCACAGTGGAGCACCAGTCTCCCACCCTCTGGCTCCATAGCTAGGTACCCAACTCACTGAACTATCCAGCCAGTCCAGGAACATATTTTGGAGAGGGAATTTCTTACATAATACTTTTAAATCAGTAACTGGCACAAATGCAGTTGAAATTGTATGTGTGTTAATAACAATACATGGTCACAATATAGCAATCTCACAGTCTGAAACTACAGGCAAGGGACTTACAGGACATATCACAAATTTCTACTTACATGCAGTGCTTAATTTATAAGAGGTGCAATTGCCCCAAAACCCCCTGCAAGAAGGGCCCCCCCACTATACAAAAATATAATAATTAAAAAGTAGTTTATTTTATTAAAATTTATATTGTGAAGCAATACGTTGCCTGCAATCATCTGTAAAAGTGCCTGAATTAACCATTAAGCAAAATAAGCTTGTGTTTAGGACCTCAAGGGAAGGGGAGGTCCCCACAGAGTTTGCAAAAAGAGAGAGAGACTAGATATTTGCTGTCTTTAGCTGAAGCAAACATCTGGAGCAGATCTCCTGCTTCCTTCCACTTAGCTGGAAGGAACTGACTTTTGATTCAGCCAAGGGGAGCGAATATCTGGTCTTTTGCAAACTGGGTGGGAGTCTCCTTCCTTCTCAGGGTGACGGTACTGCACCTGCAACTCTGGTCCTCAGGAAGAAGAGGGCTTTGAAGAAAGTTCATTGTAAGTACCCCCTTCTGCTTTAAGCACCTTCCTCTTTCAGCAGGGTTTTCCCTGCACTGGTTCACTCCCTATTCAGCTCTGGAGTAACCATTAAGAAAAATAAGCATGTGCTTAACAAGGGAAGGTGGCACCACAGAGGTTTTTTTTCAGTGCTGGATTTACCATAGACCGTGGTGCAAATGGTGCGCCCTCCTTAACAAATCACATCTATCCCTTCCTCCCTTCTAGCCCTCTCCCTCCTTCCTTCCCTCAAGAGCCCCAAGAACACCACTTCCCTACCTAATGTAATTGAGTATGAACCATCAAAAACTAAAAAGTATAAAGATTCACGTAGCAAGAAACATCCTGTTTTGTATGAAATGATCTGTATTTTGGGAGGTTGTGAGGGGACCAGGTTAAAATGAGCTGCTGGTCTTTTAGACCCATGGTCCCTGCACTATATAGGAAAGTCTGCAAGCCAAATAACAGCCACTGTTAAAAACACCCCAAAAGGGGTTTTAAGATCTTGTTTGAGCTTTCCAGTTTACAGATTCTGACAAAACCGGCCCGTCAGAATTAGGGAAAGGTGGATGGCTCTATCAGTATCCTGGGGATTCTGGGAATTGTAGTCCACAATGGATTTTTTTTCCCCAATACAACAGCCTTTGGATCCTGGCTGTGAAAGCCTTCGAGAATACAAATTCTGTCTACATTAACAAAGTGTGAAAGCCTATGATTTGGCTAGAAGCCACTAATTTGCCTGTATGTATGGTTTTGTATATGATTTGTAGTTCGCCTGGCCCCTTCACTGAGCACATTCAAAAAGGTACTAAAAACCTGGCCTTCCCTGAATAAACCACACTCTGATACAATAGTGTCCAATAATATAACTTCTATCATACTGCCATGCTCTGTGTTTTTATTTTCTTCTATGCTTTTAATTGTATTTATTGTATTATAATTTTATCCTCACTTCACTTTATGATTTTTGGTTTTTACCCCTATGTTGCTATTTGCTATTTTGTTACTCTGTTGTTTTTTTTGTTATTTCTTGTAAACAGCCCAGAGTGGCCTTGGCGGTCAGATGGGCAATCAATCAATCAATCAATCAATCAATCAATCAATCAATCAATCAATCAATCAATCAATCAATCAATCAATCAATCAATCAATCAATCAATCAATCAATCAAACAA